CCCCCCACGCACATGGCCCTCCGCTCCCCCCCCCAACCGTCAAGCTCCAGACGCCCCTCTCCGATTCGTCTTCTTGTTGGTCGAACAGAGGATATATCGCGAGGTTAACGGGAGCTCCCCAGGAGCTCCCGTTCCCCTCCCGATGTGCCCTTCGTTCGGCGTCCACGAAGACGAATCAGAGGGGGGCGTCTGGAACGTAAAATGTGTGTAGGGGGGGGGGGCGAGGCTCTTGTTCCCCTCACGATAAATCCCTTCGTTCTGCCACAATGGAGATGAATTAGACGGGGGCGTCTGGAGTATAGTGTAGGGAGGGACTCACATTTGCGCTCCAGACGCACCCGTCTGACCCCTCTTCTTTGCGGTCGAGTGCAGGATATATCGGGAGGGGAACGGGAGTGGTTTCGTGAAAGGCTTCACGGACGAGCCGGAGTCCCTCCTCGCCGGCTTCGGCAAGCTAGAAAAGGTTCGGATTGTTGAGTTGCTTACCCTGTTGCTGCTATTGCTGGTGCTGCTGCTGGTGGTGGTGCTGCTGCTGCTACTGTTGCTGTTACTATTGTTGCTATCGTTGCTACTGCTGCTGTTGCTGTTGTCATTTTACTGTCATCGACATCTGTGTTGCTAGCTGGAAAAGGTCAAGATTTTGCGTAGCATCACCGCTTGCTGCTGTCGCTTTTGCTCTAGTTGGTGTTATTGTTATTGTGTCTGCTGCTGCTGTTGTTTTTCTGTTGGAATTGTTGTTTTGCTGTTTTCGGAGTGGGTTCGTTTGCTGGTGCAAGTACTGATTCTACTGCAGGTGCTGGTGTGTATGATTGTCCTCTTTGTTGGTACCTGTTTCCTTTTATCTCCTTCTTTTTCGTTCTTGTTTTCTCAGATTCTGCGAAACCTAGGTGTGGGAAAGGTCTTCCTCTGGCCGCGATTCCACAGCCTCGTGGCGGAGTCGTTGGAACGACGCCCTCCCCAAGTGGAGGAGCTTGTTCAAGGCCTCACGGCCCCCACGAAAGAGGTAATTTGTAATTTTCCACGAGCAGTAGGTGACGTAAGATAGCACACCCCCCCCTCGCCAATGTTCAAGGCTCGCCTTCTCCACAGCAGAATGAGCGGCAGCGCCGCAACCGGCGGCGTTGAAGCCGTCTCGTCGAGAGCTTTCCGGTTACGCATCCTTTCGTCTGTGTGTCCTCTTCTCGCCCGAAGAGGTGCATTCCGGTATCTCCCTTCGTTTTGCCAGCAATCGCGTTGTGTCGAGACGGGTTGTTGTCTCTTTCCAGTTGCTGCTGTGGTTGATCGGCGGACCTACAGTTTGTCAGCAATGGCGTTAGCGAGGCAGGTTGTCACGATACAGCAAAATGGCGCAGCAGCAACCTATGTGCAGTGGGGGGGGCTCGCCGCCCTCACCAACGAGGTACCACGTACCGTAGGCGACGGAAGATATCACACCCCCTAGACCGCTTTTCAAAAGTCGATTTCTTCACCAAGCAGGTGCGGAACGAGCCCGATATGTCGACGGAAAGCCCTCGACGAGATGTTTCCAAAACCGCCACTGCTACTGGTGCCAGCACACAATCTTCGTGTGGAGCAATCTAGCCTTGACAATCGGTGTAAAAGGGAGGGTGCCAACTCCCTTGCCTCTCTCGGTATCTAGCACACGATGTCGATCCTATTTGCCTCCTGTCGTCTGTCATCGCAATTTTCCTAGACGGTGGATAGTTCCTCTTCTCATTTTTTTTTCTTCTTTTTTTAAAAGTATACAACCACAGGCAGACTAGTAGCACAGCAGTCACAGGGGATCTTTCCAAAAAGATGTTGTTGTTGTTGTTGTTGTTGTTGTTGTTGTTGTTGTTGTTGTTGTCTTCCATCAAAAAACGGTTCCGATCTCTCTACCCAGTACCTTCATCAGTTCGTAGAAGTCTAACCCTTGACGCCGTCGATTCCCGTGATCACAGGCTAGGTTACCAAAAAGCGGTTTGCTTCATTAGATGGACCCGTAAGATACCACTAAAAAAACATCTACCTTGACAAAACGACCACCCGTTTGAAGATGGTACCACAGCAGTTGACAAGGATGTTGCTGAGAGTGACCTTACATACACAGCTGACATTCGTTGTCTAGTGGCGCGCTGCGCCTTCTGCGGGTGCAGCAAGGGACCGTAGTCCTGGCGGATCACACCCCGTCCGAGACAAAATAACACAGCAGTCCAAGGAGATCAACCTGTCAGATACCACAACACATACCCGACGTTTTCATACGGACCGACATCCATTGTCTTTTGACGCGCTGAGCCTTCTGCAGGTGCAGCAAGCGACCGTAGTCCCGGTGGATCACACTCCGTTCAAGACAAAATAACACAGCCGTCGACGGGAATCTTTCTGCAAGATTCCACTTGTAGAAAATATGCATCCCACCACACAAACGGTACTCGTTCGAGACGATTCTACAGCAGTCGAAGGGGATCTACCTTTAAACACCAACGCCCGAGGTGTCTCCAAACGCAGCTGACAATCATAGTCTATTGGCACGCTGCTCCTTCTGCGGGTGCAGCAAGCGACCGTGTTGATCGCACCCCGTTCGATACAACACCACGTCAGCCGAACGGGATCTTCCTGTAAGAAACCACAGTACACAACCGAAGTGTCTCCACACAGCTGACGTACATGGTCTATTGGCGATCTGCGCCTTCTGCGGGTGCAGAAAGCGACCGTAGCACTGGTTCATCGCATCCCGTTCCATACAATGCCGAGCAGCCGACGATGATCTACCTGGGAGATTCATGAATCGTCTATTGGTACGCCGTGCCTTCTGCAGGTGCAGCAAGCGATTGTGGTGCTGATGGATCACACTCTGAGAGAGCTGAGGGGAGCGGCACCTTCCCTCGACAGCTCTGAGCTTACGGTCGAGAGCTGCATCTTCAACTCGTTCGATAGGTGTGCATGCATGTGATGTTGCTTCCTTCAACTCTTACGATAGACATGGTGGGTTCGTGTTGCTGCTGTTGCTGTTTTGGGCGTGGTACAGTGGTGGTTGAGGTGGCTGGGCACGTGGATACTCTTGGTTCAGTGAGCTCGAGAGATGCATTTTACTTCGATAGGGTGCAAGTGGTGTTGCTTCCCTCGACTCCTTCGACAACTGTGTACATGAGTAGATATGTTTCAACTCGTTCGAAAGGTGTGTGTGTACATTGTTTCTGCTGCTGTTTTTCGACGTGATGGTGGTAGTAGGGGTTGCAGTGGTAGCAGTGGTTGTAGTTCGTTGATTTCTGTTGATGCGCTGAGCTCACAGTGGACAGATGCGTTCCACCTCCTTCGACGGGTGTGCATGTGTTGTTGCCGTTGCCGTTGCCGTTGCCGTTGCGAAGGAGATGGAGGCGGTGTTGGTGGGGTTGGGGTTGAGAATATTGTCTACAATGAAAATCGCCTTCGCTGTTGCTGTTGATATTGTTGCTGTTGCTGTGGCTGCGGCTGCTGTTGTTTTTGTTCTTGATCCTGATACTGATGTCGCTGACGCCTGTGGATTCATTCCTTCTTTTTTTTTTTCGCAGGTCAGCGCAACGCCAGCTCGAGCCAGAGTGGCATCGCGTCGGCTTCAAAACCAAACAGGTATAGCAGGTACTCAACATCCCATGCAGGTATCGCTCCAAGCCTCCCCCCCTCCAACACGAAGATTGGCCATCATCGGTGATCGGTCCTGTGGTAACAGTGCTCCGCTCTCGAGGACGCGTGGTCAATGGTCCAACGGCTAAGGCATGCGAAACACATGAGTGTACCTCCCACCGCCCCCACACGAAGATCACGTACGTACAAATACGCGATAAACGATCCATTACGTGCCGCTGGTAGGTGTTATGCATATCCCTTGTTTCCAGCTTCCTGTGCGCGCGTTGTTCACAGACATGTGCGACACAGCCAGGTAGTTGGAAACGTAAGATGGTTTGGTTGAGGCATCCTCTTCGTCGTCAAGTAGTCGAGCTTGGGAAGGTTGTGGGTCCAGGGGGGGTGGTATCTTACGCAAGTACACCGTGGGTGCTGGGGATATAGCTGTTGCTTGTTGCTTCGTGTGCGCGCGTCTCTCAAGGCGATAGTGGGCACAGCCAGGGTAATGGACACGCCATGCCCAGCGTACGACTCCAAACACCTAGACTAATCATCGTGGAGAATATCCGTCGACTGAGAGGACTTCCCATGTGTATGCCTCTTTAAAGGTCATAGCGGGCATGATCAGGTGGACGTACACGCAACGCGTTCATGAGACACGCTGCACGACTTGACGGACCTGCACCGTTGTGTAGAATGTCCGCCGATTAGGAGGCATATATGCAGGGGGAAAGGTGGGGCAATTTAACAAACAACAAATGAAAGCTCCTGTGTCACCTTCCTCTTGTGTGACATCAGCTGATTCGTCAGGTATACTCGCCGAAGGCCTGTAAACCGGCACCAAAATAGATGGGACGAACAGACCCACATATGCCCCATAGTTGTTCCAAGAACCAGCTTTCCGCGCCACAGGATTCAACGCCGTTCTTTAGCCTTGTTTTTCGTTTTCTCCGTTTTTTTTTTTTTTTAACTCTTTCATTTTCTCCATGCTTCCTCTCTTACTACCTACTACAACAACCGCACTGCGCCAGGAACAAGTAAGTGTGTACGGCAAGGGAGGAGTAGGTCCGCTGGTCCTGCTTGGTGTTACTCGCTTTTTAACTTTATTCGTCTTCTTGCCAGCGTTCATACAACGTCCCCACACTAGCTGTCCCATTTCAGCACCCGCAATATGCTTGTGTGAGCCCGCAATATTGAAACCGTCTTTTCCCATGTTTTTTTTTTTTTTTCGTCAATCTCCGTCAACAGCTGCTCCAAGACCTCAAGACCTTACGGTCGTTGCTGGACTACGTGTTTCGGTACGATGCCATCACCTTCTACCAGCTCCTGCTGGGGGAAAAGAGCAAGGCCGCAGCCGTACGAGATCCCCCCCTGTGGATCGGAACTTCAGCGGCAGATAGGTCTGTTGCTGCTTCGTTGTTGTTGTCGGTGGAGTGATGCGGTGGTGGCGATGGCTTTCGGTGATGGTGCCGGCGGTGATTTGTTGTTGTTGTTGTTGTTGTTGTTGTTGTTGTTGTTGTTGTTGTTGTCGTCGGTTGTTGCAGAGCTGTGTTGCTGCTGCTGCTGTTCATGGTGGTGTTGTTGTTGTTGTTTTTCTCGTCTTCAATCTTACATCCATCCCCTATCCCGCTTACCATGAACGCCATAGGCTGTATTGAACCACTCCTCCCCACCGAAGGATCAGGGCGTGCGAATACATAACCCTTTCGCCCTTCCCACTCCGCGCGATCTCCACCCGCTGCTTGCGGTCTACCCGACCGACCAGGCTGTTCGTGACGGCGAAGGCGAGGGTCTACAAGATCGTTCCTCGGAACGGTGCCGGCGGCGCTGCTCACGGACCTCGAAACAGCGGCGGCGCGGCCAAGAAAAACGCCGCTGCCACTGCTGCTGCTGCTGCTGCTGCTGCTGTCGGTGGCGGCGGCGGGGGTGGTGATGTTGAGTACGAGGTGAAGCTGGTTCTGGAGGAAAACGCGAAGTGGCGGCTTGCCGCCGACGTGATGAAGGAGATCCGCGACCTCCACGCCGCGAGAGAGAGGTAAGGGGGAGCGACGTGCCTGGGTGTTTTTTTTTGTGTGCGGGGCCCCCTGAGGCATACTTCATTTATGATGCCGGGTGCCCAGTGCAATGCCGGTGCAATCGGCTTGACGCGACTCGACAATATGTCGGAACCACCATCACTGCATGTTCAATGTCGCCAATGAGCTCATTCCGTTGTCGCTGACAGGCCCGTCGGTTTCCCCTCGTCTTCCCTCGCAGGCAGCGCGTGGTTTCGAAACCGCCGGTGCCGGCCGCGTCGCCAGCGGCTGCAGAGCCTGCGGGGGGAGCGAGGGTCCTCGTCCTGGTGAGGGATGAACAGACGTGCACGCAGCTGCGGCAGCACTCTGCTCTCGGGGGCCCCGCGATGATGAAGAGGCGCTTCCTCCAGTGAGTGCCGCATTGTCTCCGTTGGATTTGTATGTAGCGTAGGTGACGTGAGATACCACACGCACCCTGGACCAATTTTTAGAGCTCGACTACTCCACCACGAAGGGTATGCTATAGTCAAGTGATATGTTGTCGAAAAAATCTCGACGAGTCGGTTTCAACGCCGCCATTTTCGGCACCGTCACTCTTTCCACCGGGGAGTAGTCGAGCTTTGACAATCGACCCAAGGGTAGTGGTATCTTGTGTCATCTACGGTAGTTCCGCGTCTGGTGTACGGTTCTCATGACGATGAAGAGGCGTTACCTGCAGTGAGTGTCGCGGCACGTTCGTTGTAGTTGTGTAGCCCCGCCGTTGGTGCAGGGCTTTCGGCTTGTTTTTCATGAATTTGTCGCGCTTTGGTCAATCGTAGCTAGATGCGTGTGTATTTGCCTGTCTGTTTTTCTGTCGGTCCGTCCGTCTGTCTGTATGCATGCAGGAGCTGTGGTGGCAGTCTTGGTAGACTCTCGCCCCTGCACCCAGGCGACCTATCTCTCCACTTTGTTCGTATTTCAGAACCGCCCGGAAGTCCGAACAGCGCGGTGCGGCCAAACCCTCACAGTCCCGAGTGTGGTTTCACCAAGCATGACAGTTCCGTGGTTGTACATTTATTCATCCGTTTGTAGGTCGGGTGAATACATCACTCTGAATGCATCGCTAATTTGTTCCTTGACTTTCATCTCTGCATGCAGATATGCAGAAAAGAGCTTGGTTTGATGTGGCAAACAAATTGAGAATGACGTACAGCCGTTGTTGTTTGCGTGCCTGGTTGGTGTCCTTAGGTTCGTCCGAGAGTCCGAGGAGCGTGCGGGGAGGGTCGCTGCCGCAAGGGGCGCCGGCGGATGGAAGGGAGGACGTCGGTGGAATAGCAAAGGTTCGTCGAATCAGGGAGGCTCAACTGATAGTGGAAGCACGGCTAATTCCCCCTGCCCCCCCCCTCCCCCCTTCTTCGTGCTCTTAATCCGGCTCTGTTGAGGCACTTCTTGTACACCAGTAGGGTTTCGGTGGAAAGAGCAAACAACTGTTCTTGCTGTTTGTGGCCATGGAGGCTGGAAGGCGGTGGCATAGCAAAGGTTCGTCGTATCAAGAAGGCTCAACTAGTGGAAGCCAGCTCCCCCTCCCCCCCCCC